ACATACGATTACATACCATTACACACCATTACATACCATTACATACCATTATATACGATTACATACCATTACATACCATTACATACCATTACATACCATTACATACCATTACATACCATTACATACCGTTACGTTCCATTACATTCAATTACATACCACTACATACCATCACATACCATCACATACCATTACAAACCATTACATGCCATTACATGCCGTTACATGCAATTACATACCATTACATACCCTTACATACCATTACATACCATTACGTACCATTACAAACCAATACAAACCGTTACATACCATTACATACCATTACATACTATTACATACCATTGCATACCATTACATACCATCACATACTATTACATACCATTACATAGCATCACATACTATTACATACCATTGAATACCATTACACACCATTACATACATACATAGCATTGCATACATACATAGCATTACAAACATACATACCATTACATACATACATACATACATGGCATTACATACATACATACATACGTACATACATACATAGCAGTACACTCATACATAGCATTACATACATATAAAACATTACATACATACATAGCATTACATACATACATAGCATTACATACATACAAAGCATTACACACATACAGAGCCTTCCATACATACATAGCATTACATACATACATGGAATTACATACATACAAAACATTACATACATACATAGCATTACATACATACATACATGGAATTACATACATACATAGCATTACATACATACAAAACATTACATACATACATAGCATTACATACATACATAGCATTACGTACATACAGAGCATTACGTACATACATGGCATTACATACATACATATCATTACGTACATACAGAGCATTACGTACATACATGGCATTACATACATACATATCATTACATACATACATAGCATTACATTCATACATAGCATTACATACATACAAAACATTACATGCATACATAGCATTACATTCATGCATAGCATTACATACATACACAGCATTACATACATACATAGCATTACACACAAACAAAGCATTACACACATACATAGCATTACGTACATACAGAGCATTACGTACATACATGGCATTACATACATACATAGCATTACATACGTACATGGCATTACATACATACATAGATTTGTATATACACATATGTAATTCTTATGTATATCTAAATATGATGAATAGTAAACATCCAAGTTGTTCAAATAATTTTTGCGCTCCGTAAGTTTTGGCAAGGCACCCATGGCGCAGCAAGCACTGCCAGGCTGGCAGTCCCGGCAGCGGTGGCTGCCGCGGTGCCGGCTGCCGCGGCGGTCCCGGCGGCGCCGGCTGCAGCGGTGGCGGCCGCAGCGCCAGATGTTGCGACCTACAGTCCCGCTGCGGTGTAGCCAGCAAGATTCTTGCTTGGAATTGCCCAAATTTGTTCTACATTGTTCTATACTGTTCTCATTGGCAAAGCGTCATAGAACCATTGCCATCCAGTGAAGCAATGATAGGTTATGACACCAAGGCCAAGGCCCCCAGAGACGCCCCAAAGCTGCCCAGAGAAGCACCGAAGCTGCCGTAGGCTCCTTGCAATGGACCACAAAAAGCTTGGACCACCAAGTCATGGCCAAGTTCGATTTTTGATTTCCAACCAATAAACTATTCGATTCATGGCCAAATTGGGGAAGACACGCCCAGAAAGGAGCGAAAAAAATCGAATCCGACAGCTTGAAACATCGCCTTCAAGAGCGAGAGCGCACTCCATATCTAAGCGCCGCTGTCGAAGGGTGGGCTGCAAGATGTCAATCGCGTAATATCTTCCATATCACATCATTGAACTGGGATGGCCTAAGCCCAACCATTCAAGCAGTTGCTTGAGCTTTTGATACTTGCTGCCAATGATCCGAACGACAGTGCTGAATTGCATCAGATCATAGTGCTGAAGTGCAAGTGAGGTGTGAACTGCTTTAGCTCGTCTTGGTGTTTTAGAGCCCAACATTGCCCAACATCCACGATTGTGGTGCTCTGTGTCAAGCACGCTACATGGCCCTTGACAAAAAAAAACAGTTCCCCAACCAGGTTGGTCAACAGTGGATTGGAAACGTCCATACGTCCCATCCATGAAACACGGAGTGATGGAAAAAAACTCGAAAAAAGTAGCAAATACGCAATTTGAGAAGTACTGGAATTCATTTTATTTATAGAAAGCCAAACAAACCCAACCAAAACGAACCGGACCCACACTAGAATTGCAAAATGATGCAAAATGTGTTGTTTATTTCAACTTTCGCTTTGGCCTTAGAGCCCGAATTTGGCCAGCTCCTTTCCAACAGCACGAGACGGTTGAGATGAAGACTCAGATTGAACCCAATTTTTTTGGTGAGTTGTGAAAAAGATTTGTATGGATGTCTGAATACTTTCTATAAACAGTTGAAATTAATAAGTCATTATAGCTTCCCACTTTCCGCAGCGACGACCCTCATCATTTTCAGCGCCAGATCTCAACGGAGTTGGCGCCAGTGGAAGGAGTTTTCAACGTCGACGTTGCCCTGAACTTGTGGGGTGATCTTCGCGTGCGGGTGGAGATAGTAAAATTGAAGCTATTCCCGATGTTAAAACAAACAAACCTGAATTCGAATGTGTCCTGATCCAAAACGTCTACAAAGGAATCTAGCACAGTGACCAAAAAAAGCTATATAAAACTATATAAGACTCACAAATGCAATAACCATCATCATCCCGGCTCAAATTGGAGGCTTCCAAACCCCCCATCCGGCTTCCCCCCTATACATCCCTTACCCACTTCACTCAAGCCGTTGATGTTTTTGCTGAGATCCTCAGCCGATATCTCCCGCCCCTTCACCATGAACATGTTGAAACTGGTCCATGATAATACAGATATATATATATATATATTATTATACATATGCAGATATATACATATATCTATCTATCTATATATATATACTGTATATGGATATGGATATATGGATACATAGATAATGGATCTAGACACAGATGTGGATGATGTAGGCATGGTCCCAGGACCCGGACCTGCACCGCTGGGCCCAGGGCATTAGGGTCACCGCTCGGAACTGGCAGAATCCTCGATCAATCACCAGATTTCTTGGTAAAATCAGCCGAAATCCCATGAAATCCAGATGTTTCTGGTTGTTTTTGATGATTTGTTCTTGATAATTTTGGCAAATGCACCGTAAATCATGTCAAAACCCTTTTTGTTGATGTTTCTGGAAATTTGTTCTGGGTAATTTGGTCGCACATACATCCCGATATTGATGTTCAACAATGAGTGGGCTACTTGAAGGGTACTCTCAGCAGCGGGGTTTCACCGCTGAAATCTTGATGTTCAAAGATCTTCACAAACTAGGGAGCCTACGCAAGAATGGGCATACAACCAATCAGCATGGTAGCAACCAACTTGCCAATAACCCCCCAAGATCCGCAGTGCTCCATGGTGAACCAAGAACCAACCTTGATCCTTCCGATTGGTGATGAAATAGTCGATGACTTGGGCCCCAACATTTTGCATACAAAGAGAGTTATAGAAATCTGTGATCAATGTGGCAATATCTCTCATGTTTGCTGCTTAAAATCCACAGCATTGTTGCTGTTTACTCGTTCATCCTCAGTTTTGCAATGTTTTGCCCATCTAATTGTCCATGAAACAGCTTGTTAGTTGCTTCTAAAGGAAGCCATAACTGTCTTTTTTTGGGTTGGTGCTAGCGGTCGCGGAAATTTCGTCCAAGTAGCTGTGAAGGGTTTAGCGGGAAGAGCGTCCGGAAGTAACCTAGCCAGATTTGCGAACGGTTTGGACAAAAGATCCTAGAACATGGTGGTTTATGAGCAACCAACATAACAATGGGAAGTGTTGTACTTTTCCGGATACATAGATTATGTTCCAGAATAGATTGGTGAATCCTACATCAAACAGGGGATTCCACCATCAGACAAGCTCTTCACCCGCAAGAAATGTGAATTTGAACCAATTTGAACCGTAACAAGGATATTTACCATCCAAAAGAACGAAGACCCAAGAAAAAGAAACAGCTGAGTGGTCGGATATCGTATATGAACTCAAACTTGTGTACCCCCAAAACAAATGGCATGGCTTACTATGATAATCACTAAAACCTGTGGGTCCAAGGGTCTGACTTCCACAAGATGATTTCGAGATGGGGGATGTTGCTGACACACTGGGATAGTCAAAGTCATGTTTTGATGCGGCCGTGGTCATCGTGGACATTTTTTAAGCTTTGGAGGTTTAAGGTGAAAACCCTTCAGCACCTAGTGGTATTCAAGTCAAACATGCCAGGAACGGCAAAACCAACCTCAAATTTTGAAGATCTCCAATCATCAGCACCCAAGCTCGAAGGCTGCACCCATTCCATCCACCTATTCCCCGAAGGCTGCTGCAACACTTCTCAAAGGATCATCCCATTTTGTAGCTGTTTAATCCACTGCAGGTTTGGTATAATCCAACTCTACACAAAAAGACTGCAAACCCCATTGAAATATTTACAAAGAAACATAAATATAATTAATGTACCCATAGCTACTCATGTTGGTAAAACAATGTCATAAACCATCCCCCAGTCATCACATTCTTTATAGGTGGTATGTTTACCATTCCCAGTCATGGATGGTTTATGACAATGCTTTACCCACATTAAATCCACTGACATTAATCATCCCAGTTGTCTCAAACTTAGATTCGATGGACCTGTGGTGACCTGCGGCCGTGTCAAGCCCGTGATCTTTGGTGTTTTACCCTCTGGTAAACAAACAGTTTGCTATTGAAAATGCCCATAGAAATAATAGCATGGTGGAACTTTCCATAGTTTTTTTGTATGTTTACCAGAGCTAACCATATGGAGGTTTCCTGAAATGGGGGCACCCCTGAATCATCCATTTTCATGGGATTTTCCACTATAAACGAAAATTTGGATCCCTCATTTATGGAAACCCCCCATATTTCTTTCCACCAAACATGTTCTTTTCAGCTCATCCTCGGTGCCCTTGGAGTCCCGACTCTCCTGGCATCGCTGGACATCCACCGTCTGTGGCACCATAGGCAGCGCCCAGCAGCGCTGCAGCCAGCGGCGGCGCGCGGGACCTTCGCGCCACAAGCCGCAGGAACCCCTGGCGGCCGTAGGAAAGGGGAGGTTTCGTTGGAAAACCATGGTTTTCCACATCTATGTTAGCTTACCCCAGGATGTATGTATGTAATGTAACAATGTAATCTAAGGCAATGCAAAGTAATGTAATGTATGTATGTATGTATGCATGTATGTATGTATGTATGTATGTGTGTATGTGTGTATGTGTGTATGTATGTATATTGCAGTTTATAATTGCGTTTTTTTTAAAAAAAAATATTTAGCTATCTATCTATTTAGTTGTTTATCTATTTAATTAGCTGCTCTTGATCACAAAATATTAATAGCTAGTCTTCCAGCGAAAAAATAAAGGTGATTACAGAATGCGAATGTTTTTGTTCGAAATAACATTTTCAACATGATCCAAAAAGTGCCAAAAAGTGCCAAAAAGAATCAAAAAGAATATGGTTTGTATATAATGTATGATATACATGTATATATATGTGCATATCTGTACAGGTTAAGTCGCTTTTTTGAAAAATATGCGTATCCTTTGCATTTGGAAAAAAACTATCTACTTTCTTCTGTACACTACATGTCAACCACATATTATTTCGTACTTATTCCTGGCGCTGTATGTATATATTTGAATAAACCGTTTTTGATTTTAAAACCTGAGTTGAGAAAATATTCGTAAATTTTAATCCCATTCTAAATCTGGATGAATCAAAGACATGGAAAATTATTTTTCTTTTCCAATATATATATAAATATGCATGCTCACCTGAAGAGCTGAGAAGAAATGAGCGAAGGCAACCAAGGTCCAGAAGAGCTGGAAGATATTCATTGACTATTGGATGATTTTCCCAGATTGAAGTGAATTCCCAGCCATGTTTGATTCAACTGGGTAAACTAAGAATGTGTTTTTGTTTTCTGGGGAAGGATAAGCTTCAAATGCAGCATGCCTATCATGGAGCTTTGGCAAACCCATGTTCGACTTCCGCCTGGATGTCTCTGTCATTTGGTTTACGCTCATGGCAACGCAGATGAATTCGCGTGGGTTAACTACTTCAATTTGTTTGTGAAGGTTCTGACTAGATGTTGATATGCAAACTATCAACGTCCGAATTGACCTGCCACGTCCCAGTCACACTGGCAGACTTGCAGGTCCAGTGCAACTTCCTATGTCCAAACTCCAACACGTCTGCAGCTTGTTCCAACAAAATCACATCAAAGAAACAAGTTGGAAAAATGAAGATGTGATGATTTTATATTAGTTTGATATAAAGATTTCACATAATGGGTTGAGATGGTATCAAAATGATCGCCCCATTTCAAGCCATTTCAAGCCACACCAACTCCCATCTCGGCCAGGCCTGAGGAAGAGGCTGGCGTAGACGGCATCGAAGCGACAGGCACAGGGCAGCATCATCACCTGGGGACGTCGAAAATGGAAGGAATCCCACGAAAAAAACCGGGGAAAATCGGTTAAAACCATGGGAAAATATATAGGAAATGCCCCGAACTCAATGAAGGTTTAAGATTGAGAGTTTGGCAAAAGGCTTCCCTATGACTTTTGGGGTGGTGACCTCGACCCCCCTAAAAGTAGGGACAGAAATGGATGAACTATCGATGTTTATGGCAAACTTTGATGCAGCAAACCATGTTTGCCGGAGGGGAACCGGAGTAAGCACCGCTTTTGGCAGTCTTCTTTGCATGAAATGTGGCATGGCTCGGAGTATTGACTTTCATATTTCTTCTCTTGGTTGAGTTGGCACAGAAATGGTGATTTTAAACCACTGGATTTTGGAATAACACCCCAATACAGAAGCAAAGCATCTTTTGGTGGTGCGTTAGACTACCCCAAATTGGAAGGTTGTGGCTGGTTTACCAGATTGTTTGGCTTTTGATGTTACCTTCCACAGAACGATGAAATTTGTTTGTAGGTTATGTATATCTTTTGCAGCATTTTTCAATTTTCTTTATATGTTCAGTCTCCACTCTGTCTGAGTGCTCCTCATTTTTCCGTGGACAAGCTGATGATGGATCAGAAAGTGACCTCAAACAATCACTGTAAGCTGCCATGGGACAAGGTTACAGTTGTAACCCAACGTAACAGGCAAGCAAATTTGAGTTTTGCTGTTCTCCAGAAAATTCAGATAGAAAGTGTCAAAACTGGTCTAACTGAAATCCTCTGACCCACGTTTTTCCATATTTTTCCCATGAAAAAACTGTTGAAATCCTCCCATCTGCCAAGACACATCAGCTTCAGTGATCCGATCGCCGCACCTTGGGAAACCATAGCCGTGGTTTAACACTCCAAAAACATCCAAACACCAAGGATTCGGACATTCTGGAAATGTTGGATCTTGGATGATCTTGGGATATCTCTGGAAATGTTGGATCGGATATCTTGGGGTGTTGAGATTAAGGTCGGCTAGAGGCACCACACAGAAATGTTGTCGGAACTGCCCGCAACGGTAAACTTACGAGACAATGTCGGTGACCAAAAATGTGGGGCCAGGGCCTAAAAAAACAATCCGAGTTTGAAATCCAGTGCATCACTACAGATACTTGACAGACCCACGACGTGCATTTATACGGTGGGTCTTCATCAGCCATGTCGCCTAACCTACCACTTTCCCTACCAAAACATCAAGTGGCTTCGCTTGGACCATGTTGCGCTTCCAAAAAAAGAGAACGCTCTAATGACATCCAATGAGTAGCTTCCCTAAACAAAGATCGTCAAATAGACTCAAATCTTGAGTTTCTGGTTGCAGCATTCCCTCGATTGCCATCATCTTCAGTTCCTTTAAGGCAAAACCCATCTGTTGGAAAATTACCACAGCATCCACCGGTTCCACCAAGGCGACAGGAAGGGTTGCTCACTCAACAGCTCCTCCACTCGCTGCAGGCCCTCGGCCACATCCCGGCAGGCGCGCGCAAAGGCCTCCTAATGCAACGGATCTGTCGATGGATCTAGGGACACAAATTGGAGAATAAAACCCACAAGAATTAAACTACATTATTGGGTTTGGAATGGGGGATATATATTATATATATAATTGTTATGTTCGATGATCAATGAAGTGTTTCTTGAACATAACCATGAATATGATTCTTGGCGTCTGGAAATAGGGGGATGCCCACGATATCTTGTTTCTGCATATGCCATCAAATTTGGGGGGTGCCCAACTTGTTCAAACAAAGCCCTCTCCATCTGGCTGATGTCTGACAAGCCTTGGGATTCATTGCGCTTAGGCGATGCTTCAATAGGACGTTTCAGCACTGTCGATGGGCCAGGAGACTACGGAAAAAAAGAAAACATTAAACATTGTTTCTTCAATCTATTTAGGAATTTAGGAACTATAGAGTTCTACAATCTATGATCATAGGAACTAAAGGAATAGAATGGAAACCCAAACCACATCCCAAATTGAAATCCCAATCTCGGCCGGTCAGATGCGCAGCTTCCCCGCCTGGCTGGTGGAGAACCCCGCACGGTACACCGCATTCGAAAGCAGATGG